CTCGTTCCCAGGGAACGGGGGGGCAGCGCCGGCTGCGGGCTCAGGCACAGCCCAAGTAGGCTGCTTGCCAGCTGCATAAATGCCGGTACTTCAGCATCAAATCCCGCTGCACACGCAGCGGCTTTTGGCAAGCCCGGGGCTGGAGGAGGGCGTCACGAGAAGGGAACCCTGTGACATCCTGCTGGCCCACCAGCAGTGTCACATCCTGAAACCGCGGACGAGAATTACAGAAGTGGCTCGGACGGGAGCGGGGCTGGCACCAGCGCCGCATCCCGGCCTCCTCACAATTCCTGCCAGGGCTAAGGCTTGCCCTGTTGCAAGGTGCCAGGTTCATGGGCTATAGCAAAGGGACAGCCTGATTTATAGGAGGGTCTTGGGTCGCGCATCCCAGTGGGCCGGTCACCTTGACCTGAGCTGGGACGGCTCTGGAGTACCCATGTCCTCTTTGCCAGAGGAGAAGGAAGGGCACCAGTGGTCCCTGGGCTATGGGATGGGAGTGGCAGGGATCAGGTAGGAGGTGGAGAAGGCCTTTTGCTGGATCCCAGCGACCTAGAGCTGACAGCTCTCCATCCCTCCCCAGAGCCAGCCAGGTCCCCGTTCCCAGACGTTCAGGAACAGTCCATCTGAGCCAGCTCTCCAGCACCCGTCCTCGGTCCCTCCTTTCCCAAGGAAAGGACACAGTCTCCCACAACACATCTAAAACCACTGCAGTCTCAGAAGATCCAGGAAAACCTTACCGTAGCAGAAGACGGCCTTCATGTGGTCCTGTTTGGCCATTCCCAGCATGGGCAGCATGGTCCCAAGGATGGAGTTGAGAAAAGGCACCATTCCGAACACTAGGAAGAAAGCAGGAGAGGCTCGCTTGCAGCAAACCCTCAAGCGCCGCCCCGCAGCTGCCCCAGCCCAGGCCGCACGCAGATCCAGCAGGATTGCACTGAGAAAGCCCGGCTGGCCGGCAGCCAGGAGCCCGGTTTTGCCACACAAGAGATGCCGGCAGCCCCGGGCGCGAGCTGGCCGCCCCAGCACGCGGAGGCAGCTCTAGCACAGCAGCAGCCCGCTCCTCCGAGCCCTGGAAGCTCACAACTGTTTCCCAAAGTCGGTGAGCTGCAGGCTACGGCCCATTCGCTGCTGGCATCATCGGATCTTCCCACAGCCGGGCTTCTTTTCAGAGGCGCCATCCTAGAATTAGCGTTTTTAAACCCGGTCTTCCTGGGATGGCTGGAAACAAGAGCCCAGCAGGGAATTCTCTAAGG